AGGGATCAACACCCAGTTCACACGTTATCAAGATGGACAAAACATGGTCAGAGGCAAAACTCATAAACGTAGCAAAATCCTGGGTTTAAAACAGAATTGAAGGTTTTTGCCATAACTCAGGATCTCCTGATCGGATTGGGTTGATATTTTGCAGACACAACAAGGACTTAATGGGCTACAACTTTTATGTTTTGGGCAAACCCTGAATCCATACGTAACATCAAGAAAAATGGAGCCAAAGTTCAGATGCTGAACTGCCCTGGTTACCCGTTTTGCCGGTTTCAAATGTCACAAACGCATGGTTCATTTCTATGGTTCTTATGCAAGGTTTCCAACCAAATTCATACCAACTAAGCACACATATACTAACTTCTAAATGACCTACAAATGGTCCGAAACTTCCCCTCTAAGTCACTATAAAATTGCCCAAAAACTAACCATAATCCCTAACCTAACTTTATATGCATCACTAAACTTAATCTACAACTTACTAACCAAACCCTAACTCACTAAACATTAGCCAAGCTAAACTAACCTAAGGAAGCGTAGGGTTTCTTAACCCAAATCAGTTTCTACCATTCACTCACCAAACCAATGAAACCAATCATCAAACACAACCACTACAAGTTCAATAACACAAAATTAGAGCTAACTAGTATGCTCAGCAAGAAACCCTAATCTTCCATAACCTTAACCGAAATTTTACAGCACTAAACCACTAAAATAAACCATCAATCAACACAATTGTTTATCTCAATTCATATCTTTTGATGATTACAAAACAATTGGATGTTTCTAACACCTTTTGTAGAGATCCTTTTCAGAAATAAACCAAATAGGTCTGTGGATTTAAAGCAGAAAAAGAAGATAAAAAAAGAAGAATGAAGTCTGCTGAGGATGATGTCGGACGCACAAAAGGAGAGTATCGGACGTCCGACATTCTTTGAGTATCTTCGGACGAGTAAAGAACTCAGACTCGGACGTCCGAAGAAGACAAGCCAGGAGTTACTCGATTACTGATCAGGTTCGGACGCTCAACACCTGTGTATCGGACGTCCGACAAGTGTTGCTGCTCTTCGGACGCAACACTCTGGACGCATCGGCCGTCCGAAGGAATTGAAGAAGAAAGTCCAAGTATTCATCCTACCCTCGGACGCATGATCGGACGTCCTAAGGGACTCAAGAAAACTTCCAGAACTCATTGATCTCGTTCGGATGCATAAAAACCAAACATCGAACGTCCGACAGCACCAACGGCTAGTTGACTCTTCAGTTGCTTTCTACCCGTTGACAGCATTAATTGAGGAACTCTCTGGTCTCCTATAAAAAGAACAAAATCAACCACCTCAAGATAACTTTGTACATCAAGCCTACATCAGATTGTGAGTGATTCGTGTGCTAGAATACTCAAAAGGAACATTTGTACTCCTTGCTTGTGCAATCTTCGTGCAGTTTTTTAAGTGTGACATAGCTTTTTCAATAGTGTAGCATAGTGAGGGTTTGCGAGTGTTTGTAAAACTTTCTTGCTTGACCAAGTGTGGTTTGGGGCAAGAAGGAAGTGATCCCTTCCTTGTACATAAAAGATTGGTTGCAAGTCTGTTCAACTTGAAGTAACTTGGTATATAAAAGTGGTGTTCAAACATCAGTTGTGTTTGAAGCCTGGTTTGTTTCTTTACTTTCATTTACTGCTTTTCTACATAAACTGTTCTTCTCTCCATCTCATGAATACCTGTGCTCTTGTGTTATCTTGTTCATTGGGAGGTATTTGAGAAAAGAAAGGCTGTCTGTGAAAAAAGTAGAATATATCTTAGCAGGTTTTTTGAAAGCCTAATTCACTCCCCCTCTTAGGTTGTCTTCGATCCTTACAATTGGTATCAGAGCTTGGTCTCCTAGAGATTAAACTCAAGTGGCTTGGAGTAAGATGACAACCAGTCATGCTATGTTTGTTGAGGGGCAATCTGTTACTAGGCCTCCCATGTTTACTGGTTCCAATTATGTTAGTCGGAAAGAAAGAATGATTATCTTCTTGCAATCCATTGATATTGAGCTGTGGTTTATTGTGAATGAAGGACCGCATGATGCTAACTTTCTTGATGCAGAAACAGGTTTGTTGCGGCCAAAAATGAGAGCTGAGATGAATGCTCAAGATAGAACCAATCTCACATTGAATGCCAAAGCCATGAATGTTCTTTATAGTGCCTTAGACTCAAATGAGTCAATTAGAGTAAAAGGGTGTAAATCTGCCAAAGAAATGTGGGATAAGTTAAGAGAAATTCATGAGGGTAGTGACAACGTAAGAGAACAGAAAAAGTCCATTCTGGTCACCAAGTATGAATCTTTTAAGATGGAGTCTCATGAGAACATCGACAAAATGTATTGTAGATTTAATGATCTGATCAAGGATTTAGAGGTGCTTGAGAAGGAGTACTCTCTAGGTGAAAAGAACAGAAAAATTCTGAATGCTCTATCAAAGGATTGGGAAAGCAAAGTGGCTGCCATAGAGGAAGCCAAGGATCTAAATTCCATATCCATTGAATCTCTGATTAACTCTCTAATCTCTTACGAACTGAAACTTAAATCTAAGTTGCAGGAAGAAGAAGATACAAAAGGAAGGAAGAGTATTGCTCTGAAAGCTTCACAAGATGAAGATGAAACAGCCTCACTGGATGAAAATGACTTGGAAGGTGATGACAGTGATATTGCACTCATCACAAGAGGCTTCAAAAGATTTCTCAATAAGAGAAAATTCAGGAAAGGCGGATCCAGCAATTCCTTCCAGAATCAGACTAATGACTTCAGGAATAGAGGGAAACTAGAGTTCAACAAGAAGCAGAATGATAAATGTTTTGAATGTGGCCAACCTGGACATTATGCAAATGAGTGTCCAATGAAGAAAAAGAAGGAAAACAAGATTGAACGAAAACCAAAGTTCAACAATTTCCAAATTACCTGGAATGATTGCAACTCAGAAGGTGAAGTTGAAGAAGAAGAGGAATCTGCTCAAGTGGCTTTCATCGCCATTGGAGATGAAGAGGTAACACAATGCAATTCTCAAACCAATAGTGATAGTGAATCTGATGATGATGTTAATTCTTTTCTAGAAAAAATGCATAACAGCTTGAAAGAATCCTATGTTAAAAACAAAGAACTGAAGCAAAAAATCAGCTTTCTAATACAAGACAATGCAAATCTTTTTCGACAAAACAAATGTCTTAAGCATGAAAATGATAACCTGAAAAGGATTGAAACTGATGTGCTTGCTGAACTTTACAAAAAGAAAAATTACTGTGACTTACTCAAAAGTGAGCAATGCAGCTTAAGAAAAAGGATGGATGTTTTATGTAAATTGTTACATCATGTGAAACAGAATCATCTTCGAAAGAATGACACTGTACCCTATGTTAATACTCATCAAATAAGACTGAACCAAAATACAAATGAGTTTGCTATCCACAGAAGAAGGCAAGTCAGATTCATTAAACCTGTTCATTTGATTGATTCAATGTCAGTATGCAACTTTTGTTGTCAATCTGGTCACATGTATAGCAACTGTCATGTTAAGAAAAACATGAGGAATGGCATGAGATGCATGTGGATAGTCAAACATAAGACTAACTCTCAAGGACCCAACATGTAAAGGGTACCAAATACTATCTTGTGGGTTTGTGTGTAGGTGAACCAGGATTACATTGCTAAAGAATCAAAATAGTTCATTGATAGTGGATATTCAAGACATATGACTGGTGATGCATCACAATTCATTAAATTCAAGCAAAAAGCAAGTGGAAAGGTAACATTTGAAGATGATAACAAAGCCAAGACTGTTGGTATTGGCGATGTTGGTAAGAATGATCAAACTTTTATCTACAATGTTCTTCTTGTTGACAATTTGAGCTACAATCTGTTAAGTGTTAGCCAATTGTGTGATAGAAATCTGTTTGTATTGTTCAAAAAGCTTGAATGTCTCATATTTGACTCAAAGTTCAACATTGTTTTCAAAGGAAAAAGAGTTAATGATGTCTATGTAGTGTTTCTTGAAAAAATTGATTTCTCATATCTCAAATGTCTCAAAGTAGCAAATGAGGACCCATGGTTGTGGCATAGAAGGTTGTGTCACTTCAATATGGATTTGCTGAAAGAAATTTCTAAAAAGAAACTTGTTAGAGGTCTTCCAAAAATTAGATTTGAAAAAGACAGAATTTGTGATGCTTGCCAATTTGGAAAACAAGTCAAGGTTTCTTTTAAACCTAAGAAATGTGTTTCTACTTCAAAACCACTTGAACTTCTGCACCTTGATCTGTTTGGTCCTACACAGACTGCAAGCCTTGGTGGTAAGAGATATTATTTTGTGATTGTTGATGACTACTCTCGATATACTTGGGTAATATTCCTTACTCATAAAGATGATGCCTTTAAAAATTTTACCTCATTATTTGCTAAAGTACAAAATCTGCTTGGCTTGAAAATTGTTAGGATTAGAAGTGATAATGGGACAGAATTCAAGTTCTGTGGTTTTCCAGAATTTTGTGATCATAATGGTATTACTCATGAATTCTCTATTGCTAGAGTCCCTCAACAAAATGGAGTTGTAGAAAGAAAAAATAGAATTCTCTAAGAGACTGCTAGAACCATGCTTAGTGAATGCAATTTACCAAAATATTTTTGAGCTGAACCCATAAACACAGCCTGTTATACCATGAATAGAGTTCTTCTAAGACCAATTTTGAACAAAACTTCCTATGAGCTCATGTATGACAAAAAGCCTGTTGTCGGCTACTTCAAAGTATTTGGTTGTAAATGTTTCATTTTGAATATCAAGGAACATCTTGGAAAGTTTGACAAGAAATCTGATGAGGGAATTTTCTTGAGTTATTGTGAAAACAAAAGAGGTTTCAGAGTTTATAATCGTAGAACATTGATTATAGAGGAGGCTATACACATTACTTTTGATGAATCTAATGGTGACATTTCTATGAGTTGTGGTGAAGATGATGACACAGGTGTTCAAGAAGGACTAAAGAAGCTAGCAATCAATGACCATGACTCTGCCTCACCAGAAACTGATTCAAAGGATAATGATGCTCAGGTCAGTCCAGCTGAAGAAGTGAATAATAGAGATACCACTACTCCTAATGATCTTCCAAGAGCCTGGAAATTTGCTCATAATCATCCCAGGGAGCTTATAATTGGTGATCCTTCTGAAAAGGTCAGGACTCATTCCTCTAGACACCTGGTAGATAATCTTGCTTTTGTATCACATATTGAACCTAAAAATGTTGTTGATGCTTTGAATGATGAGCACTGGATTTTAGCTATGGAAGAAGAGTTAATCCAATTTGAAAGAAACAAAGTTTGGACTCTGGTTGCCAGACCACAAGACCATCCTATCATTGGCACTAAATGGGTTTTTAGAAACAAATTGAATGATAAAGGGGAGATTGTTAGAAATAAGGTTAGGCTGGTGGCTAAGGGATACACTCAAGAAGAGGGAATAGACTTTGATGAGTCTTTTGCACCAGTAGCCAGGCTGGAATCCATAAGAATGTTTTTAGCATTTGCATGTTTCAAGAATTTTAAATTATTTCAAATGGATGTTAAGAGTGCCTTCTTAAATGGATTTATAGATCAAGAAGTCTATGTTGACCAACCTCCTGGTTTGGAAAATGAATCTGATCCAGATCACGTGTTTAAACTCTCAAAAGCTTTATATGGATTAAAGCAAGCTCCTAGAGCATGGTATGAACGTCTGAGTGGATTTCTGATTGAAAATGGTTTTAAAAGAGGCATTGTAGACACTACACTTTTTACAAAACAAAGCTCACAAGATCTTTTGATTGTGCAAATATATGTGGATGATATCATATTGGGTGCTACTAATGAAAAATTGTGCAAGGACTTTTCCATCATCATGCAAAAAGAATTTGAAATGAGCATGATGGGAGAACTGAACTTCTTCCTTGGACTCCAAGTGATTCAAACCCAAGATGGAACGTTTATAAATCAAACAAAATACACCAAGGAGTTGCTGAAAAGATTCGGAATGGAGGATTCAAAGCCTGTTGGGACACCTATGTGCACATCTACCAAACTAGACAAAGATGAAGAAGGTACAAAAATTGAGGAGAAGAAGTACAGAGGTATGATTGGAAGTTTACTTTATTTAACTGCTAGTAGGCCTGACATCATGTTTGCTGTGTGTTTATGTGCTCGATTTCAATCCTGTCCAAAGGGATCACACTTGAATGCAGTAAAAAAAATCTTGAGATATCTTAAAGGAACCTTAAATTTTGGCTTGTGGTATCCAAAATGTCATGAACTTCCTTTGTGTGGATTCTCTGATGCTGACTTTGGTGGTTGTAAAATAGATAGAAAAAGTACTACTGGTATATGCAACTTTCTTGGAAATTGCTTGGTCTCTTGGTTTAGTAAAAAACAAAATGCTATCTCACTGTCCACTACTGAAGCTGAATATGTTGCGGCTGGTGCTTGCTGTGCTCAATTGTTATGGATGAAAAACACATTGAATGACTTCGGTTTAGTATATGAATGTGTACCCATGTACTGTGACAACACTAGTGCAATTAATCTAACAAAAAATCCCATTCAACACTCTAGGACTAAGCATATTGATATAAAGCATCATTTCATTCGCGATCTTGTCTCAAAGGGGGTAATCCGTGTTGAGTTTGTTTGTTCTAAAGAACAGATCGCTGATATCCTCACAAAAGCTCTTCCGCTAGATCAATTTGTGTCTTTGAGGACTAAATTGGGTGTTTCAGAAAAAATGTTCTGAGTCTTATTTCTAGTCAATCTTTATCGGACGTCCGATGAATTGGAACGGACGTCCGACAGTGTTCTTCATCCAAGGTCCAGAAAAACCCTGGTTCGGACGGTTGTGTCGGACGCATCACTTCGTTCGGATGTCCAACACTCAAAAATGTGTCCTATAAGACAGTTACCCACTCTTCTCAATTCATTTTCCTTCATAAGTCTCGGACGCGACCTTTCAGTTTCTCTAAAATTTGAAATTCAAATTCCTCTCTCTTCAAACCAAGTTCCGAGAAATTGACTCAACCAACTCTATTACACCTCTCTTGCTCATTAACCACTCATAAAAGGCACTCCTAACACCCAACTACCCCAAAATTCCCAATTTACATACGAAACCCTAATCTCATATAACCCTCTCCTTGCGGCATCATAGTGCACTCTTGTTGGCTCTTACTGTTTTTTTTCCTTCTATACACAATATTCTGCATTAAAATCATATCCACATTGCATCATGGTTAGAATGAGGGGAGGATCTACTAGTGCCGGACGGTCTTTTAAGCTTAGGGATGAAGACATTGAAATTGTTGATCCACCTCCTGTGGCACCTAAAAAGAAGAAAGTGACTCGTGGTAACAAAGTGAAGCAGACTGCCCAAAGAAAATTAGTTACTCCAACTCCTGAATCATCTGATGAACAAATGGAAGGGCAGATCTCTGAAGGGAACATTGCTGGTGGAAATGAGGAATCAGAGCAGGCTACCCAAGTTGATGAAACTGTCACAAGGTCTTCTAGTAAAAGAAAAAGGACTGCAAAGGGGAAGAGAACTCCCCAATCCAAGAAAAAGCAATCTGCTGATCCCTCTGTTGATCAGCAGAATGAAGAAAACATTACTGAGAGTCAGCCAACACCTGAACCCTCCATCAGGAAGTCTCCAAGGACAAGGACTGAGACTCAAAATATTGGTGCATCTGCCACTCAAACCTCTAAAGGGACACGTTCTGGGAAGAATCCAGTATCTCAGCCTGCACCTGAACCCGTTCCTCTACCAAAGTTCATCGATGATGAAGCCAGAGACAGATTTGAGTTAGTCTCTCAAAAAGGGTTCATCACCCAAAGGCTCATCATTCCTTTTGAATTTCGTAAGTTTGATCTTGAACCTGTCATCAAACTCTTTGAATTCCAGAAATGGACTCATCTTCTGACCATTCCTAATGTTTTTTATCCTGACATGCTTTATCAATTTTTTGCTAATCTTAGAAAGGGTACATCACACACTGAACTCATCTCTAGAGTCAACTCTGTAGACATCATGTTAACTCCTGACATTGTGAATTCTATTCTGAAAACTAGTATTGAACCTGGTTTTAAGGGAAAAATTGCAAATTTCTTTTCGTATGAGGAATTCCCTTCTGCCTATCATCATTTTTACAATACTAAACTCATGACTTATTTTCAAACCAAATTGAACACCCCTGCTGAGGCAAGATTGGATGATCTCAATCCTCAGAATCTGATCATCTTCACCATTATTTCGAATCTGTTGGTGCCAACTGATGGCCACAGAACAGATGCAAACAAAATGGAACTCTATCTTTTCTACTGCTTTGTTGAAAAAATTCGCATTGACTTTGGATTTGTAATGTGTAAATTTCTGCTCAAAATCAGCACTGATAGTCGTAGGAAGCTTTCTTATGGCAGATTTCTGACCCCCATTTTTGCTCATTTTGACATACCCTTTTCTGGCAAATCTCCAAAAGACAATGCTTCATCAGTTTTCTCCAAACCTTATTTTGAAAGAAAGAACCTAAAATTTTTTGATGGTCATTGGTGCTACAAGGAGACTGTGGTCGAGTCTAGAAGAAAAAATTTGCATGAAACCCCTGCCACTCCTAGAACTCCCTATGATCAGTCAGGCTATGTTTCTCCTTTAACCATTCATCCTAAAAAGTCTGCTAGTAAGTCATTCTCTTCCAACTCTGAGGTCATCTCCTTGCTTGAAGACCTCAAACAGCATGTTATGCTTCTTGAAGATGGTCTCATGATGACCATGACCTCTGCCCAACAATCCTCTTTTCTTGAAAAAAGGAATCTTCTTGTGCCCCCTATACCTGAGACAAATGAGACTGCTCATCAGAAAGAGCCAAGATCTGAGCCCACAAGGCCAACTACTGGTAATGAGACCACACCAGCTTCCAGTTCTCAGCCCAAGGATAAAGGCAAGGCTCCAGTAACTGAGGAAGCATTTGAAGATGATGATGAAGAAACTGAGGAAGAAGAGGACCCTGAACAGTACCGTCTGACCAGGAGGAGGCCTGTATCATCTAAAATCACCATCTAGGCACTACTAGGTCACTGCACCTAAACCTAGGACTATAATTCATCTTTTGCATTGCACTTTTGTACTAAGTGTTGAACACCTGGTCTGTACAACTGGATATTTTCTACTATTTATGAATGTTTTAACTAAGTGCTTGTTATGAATGCTTTGAATGGATGTTGTGATTGGTTATATGTTTTTGAAATCTGCTCAATGAATGAATGTTTCTGTTTAACATCTGCTACATGATTGAGTCCAAACTGTGCTGTACATTGTAAATGAATACACTGATAATGTTTCTGATGGGACGTACTGCTGGTTCCAAAACTGACACTCAATCTTGTGATGACAAAAAGGGGGAGAATTGGAATTGGATTTGGTTTAACACTGATAGTATAGAGTGTCTAGTTAGGGGGAGACAGTCTCAGGGGGAGTTGAGCTGGATCAGCACTGATGATGTGGATTGCGTTTCTTCCTATATACTACTCATGCACTTCGTTAGGGGGAGCTGTTATATTTTGTGCTCTATCCAATTATTTTGTCATCACCAAAAAGGGGGAGATTGTTTATCTCAATTCATATCTTTTGATGATTACAAAACAATTGGATGTTTCTAACACCTTTTGTAGAGATCCTTTTCAGAAATAAACCAAACAGGTCTGTGGATTTAAAGCAGAAAAAGAAGATAAAAAAAGAAGAATGAAGTCTGCTGAGGATGATGTCGGACGCACAAAAGGAGAGTATCGGACGTCCGACATTCTTTGAGTATCTTCGGACGAGTAAAGAACTCAGACTCGGACGTCCGAAGAAGACAAGCCAGGAGTTACTCGATTACTGATCAGGTTTGGACGCTCAACACCTGTGTATCGGACGTCCGACAAGTGTTGCTGCTCTTCGGACGCAACACTCTGGACGCATCGGCCGTCCGAAGGAATTGAAGAAGAAAGTCCAAGTATTCATCCTACCCTCGGATGCATGATCGGACGTCCTAAGGGACTCAAGAAAACTTCCAGAACTCATTGATCTCGTTCGGACGCATAAAAACCAAACATCGAACGTCCGACAGCACCAACGGCTAGTTGACTCTTCAGTTGCCTTCTACCCGTTGACAGTATTAATTGAGGAACTCTCTGGTCTCCTATAAAAAGAACAAAGTCAACCACCTCAAGATAACTTTGTACATCAAGCCTACATCAGATTGTGAGTGATTCGTGTGCTAGAATACTCAAAAGGAACATTTGTACTCCTTGCTTGTGCAATCTTCGTGCAGTTTTTCAAGTGTGACATAGCTTCTTCAATAGTGTAGCATAGTGAGGGTTTGCGAGTGTTTGTAAAACTTCCTTGCTTGACCAAGTGTGGTTTGGGGCAAGAAGGAAGTGATCCCTTCCTTGTACACAAAAGATTGGTTGCAAGTCTGTTCAACTTGAACTAACTTGGTATATAAAAGTGGTGTTCAAACCTCAGTTGTGTTTGAAGCCTGGTTTGTTTCTTTACTTTCATTTACTGCTTTTCTACATAAACTGTTCTTCTCTCCATCTCACGAATACCTGTGCTATTGTGTTATCTTGTTCATTGGGAGGTATTTGAGAAAAGAAAGGCTGTCTGTGAAAAAAGTAGAATATATCTTAGCAGGTTTTTTGAAAGCCTAATTCACTCCCCTCTTAGGTTGTCTTCGATCCTTACAACAATAATCACCACATGAACCTTACAAGTTCATAATCACAACAAAAACTTCACTTTCATGACTTCAAGATTAAAACCCCAAAATTTAACTTTCAAAAGAGGTGATTTACCTTCAATCCAACCTTGTTGATGATTAACCCACAACAATCAAGTAGTAAAGATGTTGTCTTAAACTCCAAAACCAAGATGGAAGCTAGAAGTTGAAGAATTTTGAAGGAAATCTCTTCCTCTCTCTTGCTCTCTCTCTCGACCTCTCTCTCTCTTTTTTCTCTTTAATTTTTGTTTTATTTGTCTTACAAATGACTTAGTTATGGCTCTTGAGACTAATATGTGGTGCAAGACCACTTAGGAAAGATATTTACCATTCAACCAATCAAATAAAAGCTTGTTTATTGCCTCTTAACCCTTACACCTTTACTTTCTCTTTCTTACTCCTTTTCCCCCAAACATTTGATAATCTTTCAATTAACTCTATAGGTTATAACTTAATCTAATCTAAAACACTTAACCACACTTAATTACTTCACTAATCACCCTCCTATATTAATCACCTATATTTAAACATACTTTATCCCACATAAAAGCAATTAAACAATAACCTTTTTGTCAAGGGTAAAATTAGGGTTTAAACCCAACTTAAAACTTCTAAAAAAATCACAACACTAGAAGTTTACCTCATTTAGGGTTTCTAACCTTCTTAAACTTATTTAACCTATATAAAATGGAGCAAATCCTATACTAAAACACACACTAGCATAACTAACTATAATCACCACTCGAACTTATAATTAATACAAAACTAGGGTTTCAATACTAACCCCAACTTAGGGTTTTCAAATTAGTCCCAAAACCTAGTGTTACCGCACAAATAATGAATATAACTTAATATCAAACTTAAGAACTGACCGGGGTCTCACACTTTTAAATCTAGTTTCCAATGCCACCAACCATGCTCAATTCCAAGTTGTATTGAGTGAGATATGGTACAATTTGTAAACTGCAGTAGAGCTGGAAAACCCTTTCTTGTGTTGGCCGAATGGTTAGGCTAATTGAGGGATGCTTTGCTTTGCAAATTTTGATGTCAATTGACTACCAATTACTTTTTAAGTGTTCTTGGACATTGGTTTCACAAATGAACTGAAATGGAACTGATTTCATTGTACAAAATGTTCGGAAACGAACTAAAAGCAAGAAGACAGATATACTAGGAAATATTTTCCAAGTTTTGGTGGTCTTGTTAACTGTCTTTCCATACTAGTTTTTGCGTAAAATTCGATAGGAGAATAGTACTCATATGGAAGTTTACGTGTACCGAATTTGGTGTTATTCTAAGACCATTTTGATACCCAAATGATGTCCCAAAACTTGCTTTTCAAATCTGGAAAACTTTTCTTTTTCTCTTGGCCAAATGGTCAAACTTGTTTTGGAATGTTTTGTTTCGAAAACTTTGATGTCAATTACCCCAAAATTGCTCATTGGATGTTTATGGAACATTAGTTTCAACATTTGAGTGAATTGAGGTTGATTGTGTGGGACAAAACTTTTAAAAGGAAAGAGAAACTCGAATAGGCAGATTAGCCTTGAGAGTTTCACGAACTTCGTTATTTCGTTAACCACCTTCCCGTATGAGTTTTTGCCTAAATTTTGGTATAGATATAGTTCACATATGGAAGATTTAGTGTATCAAATTTGGTGTATTTTCAATGCGGTGTATTTTCAATGCCATTTCGATGGCCAAATGATACTTCAAAGATAGTTTTTCAAATCTGGAAACTCTTGGTCAGTGAGTAATTTTTAGCCGAATTTGAGCTACTATATCCTGATGCTCAAAACTCTGAATTTCATTTTATTTGTTGTGTTTGAAACCTTGATTGGAATTCATTTTGTGTTATGAATTTCAAAGGCTAGTTCACTTTCTATGAATTTTGCCGAATTTCCAAAGTTTGCTGAAAAACAAGACTGAATCTGCCTTGCTGACTTAGATCAGCTACTTTGAGTTGAAAATTGAATGCTTTTCATTTAGAATCTTGAAAAATTGTCTTCTAAGAACTTTTAGTACTTTGGAACTAGTTTCCAACGGTATCAATTTTTCCAATTTTGGACCTACTGAGTGCAAGATCTGATTTTTCAAAGATTGCTCCTTAAAACTGAAATTTTCAAATTTGATGGGAAATGAGTTTTTAGAAACTCTTCACTACCCTTCGATATTGAATGACTGTTTTAAACTTGATTTCATGAAAGAAATCAGTTTCCCTTGTGTTATTAAACCTCACTTTTGAATCTCGATTTATGAGTAATTAAGGCTCTCTTTCATGATATTTCTTAGTATTGTACAAGTGTACAACCTTCCTTGTTAACGAGGGGTTTATAAACAATAGTGTGTTATAGTCAATTATTATTTGGTCAGGCGTTCAAGGGGACTTTCAAGAGGATCTCGAAGCAGATGCCTAAAAGTTTGTTTGAGCACTTACACTCTATTTTGATTTGGTGAGTGTTCCATATAGGAGTACGTGATTTAAATAGTTTTACGACATGTTTACTCCATGGTCATTATGTGTTTAACTGTTAAGTGCTACCGATAATTGCTCCTATGAACTTTTCCACCGTTTTAAGGGTAGTGTTTACTTTATCTCACTCTACCTACTAAAATGACAATTTTCTACCGTTAACCGTGAACTACTTACCGTTTATCAATTTATTTGAACTACTTACCATTTACCGATTTGTTTGATTACTTACCGTTTACCGATCTATTTGATTACTTACCATTTACCGATTTACTTGATTATTTGTGCATGTTGTAAGCTCTAAGCTGCACTGGATCTTGCCCTTGGTTACTAACCTGCTCGAGTCAGGACCGGGCTCGGTCAGGTAGGTTGGAACCTTAGAACATCGTTTCGATATATTCGAGTATTACCACTGGAGGGATAAGGTGATGACCAGACAGTGTGACGGCCCCACTTCTCCCTAAGGTGAACTAGAGGATTGGCGGGTCGCCTACCTAGCTCTCGCCAGGACTCACGTAAGGTAACCGCTTAAACCCTTTCGACATACATCTTAAACCATTACCAACTTCGTCACCCAAACAAGCCAACCTTAGAATGACCAAAAATACCGAGAACACATTAACTTCAGAGATTACAATACCATAGGACAACTGAACACCCACTCTTAAGTACATCTCCAACCAGTTTAATACATAACTATTTTTATACAATACAAACCACAACGTGAAATCATAAAACTCAAATACATTCATACAAGTCAAACAAAATTTAGGGTTTGCACTTTTCCAGCTTCAAGTGGCAACCCAAAACGAAAGATACATAAACCGATTC